ATCTACTTCACGGCATTGTGGTAAGGATTACAAAGGCACTGTCTGGTTTTGCAGTCAATGCTCAGTAAGCTGTAGTTATCATTAATAACGATGAGCAGGAGAGACCCAAACCCAGCCTGGGAGAAGGGATTCCAAGCTGGTTGCTCCCTTCATTCCCACTCCTTGAGTGGCTCTGCTTTAACTTTCCTGGAACGAGTTGGAGCTGGGGGCTGCAGCAAGGGAAGCAGCAGTGCCAGACAATGTCAGAGGGGGAATCCTCTAGAACTCTGTCAAAAACTGTATTGAGTTGATATTTGGAAGGCTTGGTGGTCAGTACTGGACAGCTGAGAATCCTCAATCTTTCGGGACTTAAGGTGATTGAGAAAAGTGGGTTGAAGCCAGACGAGGACTTAGGACTCCAGGAATGTTTGATGGATATTTGTAAATTGTTTGCACAATAACCCTGATTCCCACCTGATCCCCACTATAGTTCTGTGCATGTGCATTTGGGCTTTTCAATCAAAAATAAAAGCCCCGCTTCTCCGCAAAAATTAAAAATTAGCTAAGTTGGTCTCCATGTACTAGCAATTCAGTAGGATGGAAAGCCCCCATATTACAATGCTGAGAGTGTGTGAAGCACAAGCAGGCCAGTTGTGGCTGGGGTGAGAAGGACAAACTCAGCTGGGTGCTCCTAACAATAAGGACTATGCCACCAAAATCACAAAACCCATTCATTCATTCATTCATTCATTCAAAATATACTTATTGAGCTAGAAGTTATGCTTAGAGCCAAAACCGTAACAATGAATCAGGCAGGGTGCAGTGTCTCACACTTATAATCCCAGTACTTTGGGAGGCTGAGGCCAGTGAATCCCTTGAGTCCAGGAGTTTGAGACCTGCCTGGGCAACACGGCAAAACCCTGTCTCTACAAACAAATACAAAAATTAGCTGGGCATGATGGCACACACCTATCATCTCAGCTACCTGGGAGGCTGAGGTGGGAGGATTGCTTGAGCCTGGGAGGTGGAGGTTGCAGTGAGCCATGATTGTGCCACTGCACTCTAGCCTGGGCAACAGAGTGAGACCCTGTCTCAATAACAAAAAAAGAGAAACGAACAAACAAAAAAACCCAGTGAACTAGACAGATGAAGCCCCTGCCCTTTTACAGCATGGAGCCTAGTGGAAGAATTAGATAGGTAAACAATGTTTTATTTTTTTAAATCATTTTGTTTTAATAGAAAATATGTTCTCAATGTTCAAAATTTAAAGATTACAGAAAAATATACTATGAAAAGTCTTGTCCTTTATCTGAGCCCCAAGTACCTCAGTTCCCCCGAACCCTTGGAAACCAGTACTTCTAGTCCCTAAAGCAATTTCTGCAGCATGATCAATGTGACCTTGTGTAATTGGAAAAGCACAGGATGCAATGAGGACACACCGTGAGGGCCTAAGCCAGCCTAAGAGTGGATGATTGAAAAAATGACTAAATGAGTGTTTCCCGAAGACCCTAATTCTGGAGAGGAAACGAAGAAGAGAAGGGAAAGGAAAGAAGAATCACCAACCATAGACAGCTAGTGCTTTAAGCCCTTGCACAGCCACCAGGTGGCCAGAGCATGCTATGATACCAAAAGCAGCTCTGTCCCCTGCCAGACATCCGTCCAGACATCATGAGTTAATCAAGGCATCAGAAACATCCTTGGGGCAATGTGCCATCCTTAGCATCAGACTTAATGTCTAAGAGCAAGTGTGTCCAACTGGCAGCCTGTAGGTAGTATGTGGCCCAGGACACTTTTGAAAGCATCCTAACACAAATTAATAAACTTTCTTAAAACATTATGAGATATTTTTTTTTGCAATTTTTTTTTTTTTTTTTTTTTTAGCTCATCAGTTATCATTAGTGTTAGTATATTTTATGTGTGGGCCAAGATAATTCTTCTTCTAATGTGCCCCAGGGAAGCCAAAACATTGGACACACCTGGTCTGGAACGTTCTGCCCAAATCTGCAAATACTTGAATACATACCAGACCTCACCCCCTTATTTTTGGTTCTGAAAAAAAAGGGGGCACTGATGAAACTTGAGTCGGGGGCTGCAGAGGAAATGGGAGAACTTTCTTCTTCTCTCCAAGCTGCTATGAAATTTTCAATAGTATCTGTCATTAGAAAGAGAGTAGGGTAAGGAATCATAAGCCTACAATGTATCAGGCAGATATTCTATTTTTGAAGTTGAGAGAGTCTGAGTGACTTGTTCAAATCTCCCAGCCGAGAAACTGGGATATGAACCCACATCTGCCTGACTCAAAGACCTCCACATCCATTGCAGCCTCTTGCTTCTCACAATATCTGTGATGCTTGAAGAACACATCTGCCTCTTCAGGGCCCCTGGGGAGGCCCACGATTCCCCTACCTAACCTTCATCAAATGTCCTGAAGTTTCTGGGGAGAAGTCACTTTACCCTTTAAGGTACTATATACATAGTAACTTGGGCCTGTGAGATTTCCAAAGACCTAAAACAATACAGTAAAACTTCAAAATTGGCTGGGCATGGTGGCTCATGCCTGTAATCTCAGCACTTTGGGAGGCCGAGGTGGGCAGATCACTTGAGGTCAGGAGTTCATGACCAGCCTGGCCAACATGGTGAAACCCTGTCTCTACTAAAAATACAAAAAAATTAGCTGGGCATGGTGGCAGGTGCCTGTAATCCCAGTTACTCAGGAGACTGAGGCAGGAGAATCACCTGAACCTGGGGGGCAGAGGTTGCTGTGAGCCAAGATCGCACCACTGCACTACAGCCTGGGCAACAGAGCGACACTCTGTCTCAAAAATACAAAAAAAAAATTGGTTTTGAAGGTGTGGATGGCAGAAATTCTCGCCCCTGGCCTGGGTGAGCTAGAGGGGAGAAGCAAGGACATCTAGGTCCCTATCACCACTTGCCTAGACAATGTCACAGGAAGGCCCCTGGGAATCTGAGATGGAGCAGGTGAACCCTTCACATCTAGATGGTGAGTCCAGAGGAGGTATTCAGAGGGTTGCCTTCTTCCCCCTCCTACTGCTGCCCGACAATGGCCTGCAGGCTGAAAGAGTCCTTTCCTCCTGGAACTGACATGGGACCTGGCCTGTTTGGGAGCAGAATGGTGAAAGGAATTAACATTAAAGACAAAGGGACAGGCAGTCAAAGTAATTTGAGGAGGAAAAATTGCTTCATTTCTAGGCTCCTTCCCCTTTTGAAACAGATAAAGTTGCAACCCTTATATGCTCAGTGTTTATATTCAGAATTGCAGTTCTAGCCAGGGACGTCTCTTTCCTCTCCCGGAATTTTTTGGGCCATTTATGCATTACTCCCGAGGGAGGCCCAGTGCAGGGCAGTGACTTCAGAACTGGGTTTGAGTCTGGGCTCTGCCATTATAAATATTGTGACCTTAGGCAAGTCACTTGATCGTTCTCTGTCTTAGTTTCTTCATCTGGAAAACAGGTGAAAATAGCACTGTTGTGGTGGCTGTGGGAAAGTATTTCTTTCTTTTCTTGTGGAAAAGTATTTAATTCAAACCTTTCAAGGAAAGCATTTAACACATGTCTAATATATAGGAGTTATTCAATAAATGGTTTAATTCTTTTTTAAAAACCCCAAAAGTTATAGCTCCAAAATTTTAAAAGAAAATTACAAAAGTAAAAGGAATATTTAATAAAATAGGTACAGAGAGACTCATGTCTGTTAGTCAACTACAATTGAAGTCAACTCTTACATAGTTATATATAAATACAGCATAAAAAAGATTCCCAAGAATACAATGAACCATTTTTTCTCAATAGAGTTCAGAATTATAATAATTCTTTCACATTTTTAAACAACAAGAAATGCATATCCTGTATGGAAGTGAGGTGCATTTTGATGTGTTTGATATGACATGGGGTCTCCCAGGGTCTTAGGAAGATCCTAAGGTGGTGTGAGGAACCTGGAGAAGGACAAGAGACAAATACTCATGGCAGAAACCTCTGTCCTCACCCCCTAGCTGCTCTAAGATTAAGAAAGACTAGAGCAGCCAAGGCCTGCAGCAGCCAGCCATGCCCACAACAGAGGGGCCTCTCTGGATTTCTGTATCCCTGGTTTAAACAAAGGCCCAAGGGATGCCTGCCCAGCAAGCTGAGCCACCAAAGCTCTGGGGATCAGGGGGAACAAAGGCAGAGGGAGAGCAGAGTGCTGACAGGGCCAGAGGCCAGAGGCCTCAGGGCTATAAAGAGGGGGGCCACAGAGCAAGTGGCACCAGATGGAGACCCAGACTGTGCAGCAGGAGCTGGGTGAGTAAGGCCCTCAGGGTGCCCTTGCCCTTCCTCTCCTTGCCCTGCAGAGACATGACCAGGAGAGGGCCCAGTTCTCCTGCCTAGTGTGTAGAGCCTTCTAGGGTGGCTGGAGAAGACTGGGGAACTCTGGCGGAAGGCAGCCTTCTCTTGTCATCCCAAGAGGAGTCACTTATATAGCAATAACCACTGCCCTAGCAACCAAGGCTGGGGGGTGGGCATGAGCCCCCAAGAAATGAGCAGGGAGAAGGTATGGGGGCAGGACCTGGGAAATGTTGCTTATTCAGAGATTCAGAATGGAAAGATATATTACAGAGTTTACACACATCATTCCTGGGCCCGATACCAGCCAGATGGAGGGCCATGAATATCTGTCCTAAGTCAAGAAACCTAATACACACCTGCCTGTCTTCCTTCTTCCCTTCCTCCCCGCTCTTTTCCTTCCTCTTTCTTGCTCTGTGATTCCTTTTTTCAAATTCATCCTACCATCTTTACTGTCTACCTAACCTCTATGAGCCTCAGTATCCTCATTTGTAAAATGGGGATAATGATGATTCTTAATTCATAGGCTTTGTGTGAAGATTAAATGCGTGAATGCAGGTAAAGCATTTAAAACAGGGCCGGACATGTAGATAGCCATTGTTGAGTGTTAACTACCGTAACTCTTTTCTTCTTCACTTTCCTTCAATAAGTCTTTTTCAATGTCTCCCAATCCCTCATCCCCACATGTGCTCAGCACGATGCTATACCAATCCCCTAGAAGACCCAGGCCTTGCCATTGAGGTGCTCACCAGGACATCCAACAACCAGAATACAGATTGGTACTGTGATGAGTGCCAGAGATCAAGAAAGAAGGCAAGTGGCTGTGGGCTGGAGAAGGCAGGAAAGCATCTGAGGAGGCAAGGTCAAGGTTGGGTAGGACCTAGGAGATAGAAAAGCAGAAAGGAATGGCCAGGCACGGTGGCTCAGGAGTTCCAGACCAGCTTGACCAATATAGTGAAACCCCTGTCTCTACTAAAAATACAAAAATACTCCGAAGAAAGAAAGAAAGAAAGAGAGAGAGAGAGAAAGAAAGGAGCCAGATAAGGATGAGACCGTGAAGGGTTACAAGGGAGTTTGGAGCTTGGGATCCTGGCATGGCTGGCTGTTTGGCCAGTCACATGAGGGGTCTGGCCTAGGCGGTTGCCAAAGAGTTTATATTGCGGACAGAGGCAATGCTGTCACCTGAAAGCAAATGAGAGGGCAGGGTTACAACGCTTATCAGTGCTTTACCTGCATTATTGTTTCTGATCCTTTTGTTTTTTTTGAGATGGAGTCTCACTCTGTTGCCCAAGTTGGAGTGCAGTGGCGAGATCTCAGCTCACTGCAACCTTTGCCTCCTAGGTTCAAGTGATTCTCCTGCCTCAGCCTCCCGAGTAGCTGAGACTACAGGTGTGTGCCATCATACCCGGCTAATTTTTGTATTTTTAGTAGAGACAGGGTTTCACCACATCGGCCAGGCTGGTCTCAAACTCCTGACCTCAGGTAATCCACCCGCCTCAGCCTCCCAAAGTGCTGGGATTACAGGCATGAACCACTGTGCCCAGCCTATTGTTTCTGATCCTTACAATAACTCTGCACGTTGAAGCTTTACCAATGGAAAAACTGAGGCTCAGTCTGGGTGTGATGGCTCACGCCTGTAATCCCACCACTTTCGGAGGCCAAGGTGGGTGGATCACTTGAGGTCAGGAGTTCAAGACCAGCCTGGTGAACATGGTGAAACCCCCATCTCTACTAAAAATACAAAAACTAGCCGGGCATGGTGGTGCATGCCTGTAGTCCCAGCTACATGGGAGGCTAAGGCAGGAGGATCGCCTGAGCCTAGGAGGCAGAGGTTGCAGTGAAGTGAGATTGTGCCACTGCACTCTAGCCTGGATGACAGAGCAAGATCCTGTCTCAAAATAGCAACAACAACAACAACAAAATCTCGAGGCACAGCTAGTGAGCGGCAGAGCCAGAATTCCAACCAAAGTCTGTCTTGCAGACTTCAATTCTCCTTTACCTTTCAAGGCATTCCGTCACCTCACCCTCCTCCCCAGAAGCCACCTCATTCATGTGTGCTCTGTCTTCCAGAAACCCTTCCAACCACGAAGATGGCTCAGACCAACCCTACGCAGGGGTCCCTGGGGCCATGGAAGGTAAGCCCACCCCCATCACATCCAACAGGGCAGGGGTGAGATGCTGCACAGAGCAGGCCCCAAGCCTGTGCTCATCCATGAAGCAGTGACTGACCAGAAAAACCCCAGTTTGTAGGGGAAAGGTCCACACAAGCTCCAGTGCTGTCGAAGGAAGGATCTCTCAGGATGTCCTGTTGGACAAAGGAAGGATGACTCTGGATGCCAATGATGGGTGGGAGTTGATACCTAGTTTCCTAACTCCTCTCTCCTTCCCACTAAAGTCATCTTAAAATACAGCACCCCAGCAATGATTATATCCATGGAGAAAATGAGGGCCCATAAAGAGATTTACTACTAGATCCCAAATCAGTTACAGGACTCAGCCTCCCAGCCTGAGGTTGGCTTTAACCATTGGCTGAAGTGGCTGATCCTCAGGCCTCTCACTGGCCTCTCTCCAACACTCCCCATTCTCCTCATTGGGTCAACTCTGAGGCCAACTCACAGCTTTGGGAGTGGTCCTCTGGCCAGGTCCACAAGCCAGGTTTTAGTTCAAAGTGCAAAAAGGTTGACCATAACTTTCCTTTACACCCTAGGTTTCTATGGGGGTGTGGCCGGAGAAGCTAAGAATCTGTAAGGAACTCCTGGGACTCCCAGAATCCTGGCCTCTGGGCCATGCTTATGAAGGAACTGTGGTGGAATGGGAGCCCATAAGTCCTTGGCCTGTCCATTGGTCTAGCTGTTATCCCTTCAGACCATTTCTACAATAAACCAATCCTCCCTCCACGTCATCCCTACTCTGGGCAAATGAACACCAACCAGTGGCGTTAATTCAGACCCCTTCCTGCCCTGTCTACACTGGAAGAGACCTCACCAGACATCCCAGGCTACAGCTGGTAACAGAAAGCACTGAGTCAGACACAAGTTAAGCTGTTGACCTGGGCCTCTGTTTTTCCTGATGTACCAGGTGCTAGCTCTCTTGTGCCATTCAATCTCATTTCAGATAACCATCTATGATCAGGAGAACTTTCAGGGCAAGAGGATGGAGTTCACCAGCTCCTGTCCAAATGTCTCTGAGCGCAGTTTTGATAATGTCCGGTCCCTCAAGGTGGAATGTGGCGCGTGAGTATGGATCTCTGTAGAACCACAGTCCCTTATTTCAAGTCCCTTCAGACATGGGACCATAGAGTGGGGATAGGGGAAGAAGGATGTCCCCCTAGGCTCTAGTCATTTCTCAGAGAGAGACCTCAAAAGAAATCACTACATGCATAATTTAGTAAGCCAAAGCTAAAAGGGACATGAGGTTCTTAGGCCTGGTACTAAATTTCAGGGGCTGAATAAAGAAATACATACAATGGGGTGGGGCAGTGGCAGTAATCAAATTTTTACTTCTGGGGCTCACAGGCCCTCAGAACAGCCACAAGACCCTTGAGTTTTTCTTGCCTGCAGAAAATTGGTAAAGAAGAAAGTGTCAAGTGGCTGCCTCTATGGCTAACTCTCCTCCTGCATGTCCCAGAGCAGACACTGTTAGCTAATTTATGAAAAAAAAAAAAAAAAAAAAAAACCTTAACCCCATGACTCCAGAGACATATTAGCTCCTGATTCATCTTTCAGGCAGTTTCTTGTTGATGGTTAATCTTGGTGAGGGAGACCTTCTCATTTTTGTCCTCTGACTCTTGGCAGAGTAGTTGAGGCCTTTATCATTAGCCTGAAAACACCTAAGGAAAAGACTCGCCCTTGACTAGGCAGAACTGGCCTTGCATGTGGATAGACTTCCACAAGTTGCTTGCCACCAAAATTAAGCTCTTCAGTCCTTTGAAAGAAGTAACACTTTAAGGTGTCATCACTGAGACCCAATTGTGAAAAACTGAACTGAGTGTTTCAAGTTTTAAGTATAAGTATGGGGCACTAGGAGAAAGAACTTGCAAGTCACAGGAAAAAAGAGACTAGTAATCCATCAGTTGCTTGTTCATCCCTGTGCTTTCTTAAGAATAAGTCAACAGGTTTGGCTTGAGCCAACAAAGCAATAGTCCAGGGGTGTCTAATCTTTTGGCTTCCCTAGGCCACACTGAAAGAATTGTCTTGGGCCACATATAAAATACAGTAACGAGAGCTGATGAGCTAACAAGAACAAAAACTCAAAATGTTTTGAGAAAGTTTACAAACTTGTGTTGGGCTGTGTTCAAAGCTGTCCTGAGTTGCATGCAGCCCTTGGGCCACAGGTTGGACAAGCTTGCAATAGTCAGTCACCAGATCCTGAACCAGGTATTGAGGAAAAAAAAAATTTTTTTTTTTTTTTTTTTTTTTTTTTTTTAGACAAAGCGTTACTCTGTTGCCCAGGCTGGAGTGCAGTGGCACAATCATGGCTTACTGCAGCCTCCACCTCCAAGGCTCAACCCTCAGCCCCCTGAATAACTGGGACTGCAGTAGTGTGTCACCACGCCTGGCTAATTTTTGAGTTTTGTAGAAGGGGTTTTGCCATGTTTCCCAGGCTGGTCTCCAACTCATGGGCTCAAGCGATCTGCTTGCCTTGGCCTCCTGAAGTGTTGAGACTACAGGCGTGAGCCACCACACCCAGCCAGGAAATACAATTTTAGATTGGCTTTGCTAATACACTTCACTCAGACCAGTGAAGTAGACAGACCTTTTCAGTAATAATCCCAAAACAAATACTACATTCGTAAACCTGCTTAGTATACCTGTCAACTCATTCCTCACCTCTTGTGATAAATTAGTTTGTACAGCTCTACTGGGATTGGCTTGATATTTTACCCCACTATTAACTTATCTAAAATGAAAGATGCCTTCTCCCCAAGGCCATATAGGCTTTGAACACCATGAACAAACACTACATGTCTTTGGCAGCTGGATTGGTTATGAGCATACCAGCTTCTGTGGGCAACAGTTTATCCTGGAGAGAGGAGAATACCCTCGCTGGGATGCCTGGAGTGGGAGTAATGCCTACCACATTGAGCGTCTCATGTCCTTCCGCCCCATCTGTTCAGCTGTGAGTCTCTGAAATTTCCACTTCTGTGCATATGAGGGATGGGACAAGAGGGTGTGGACAGACTGACGTTCATGCTATTTCTCATCAGTTATGCTGAATGTGGCAGGAAAAAAGACAAAAGCAAAAAAAAGAGAAAACATCACTTTCTCCTCTAAGCCTGCTATTTGATTTTTCTCCACCAGGTGGTATTTCCCTTAAGCTAAAACTAAGGGTCTTACAGGTGGCAATAAGTGGATACTCAAGAGCCCAATAAACTTGTGAAACACTAGTAAATGAGTGAAAGTCTTTACCCTGTAGTAAAAAGCAAATCCTTGGCCAGTTAAATTTCAATCTGTGCAACATTTTACTGCAGAAACAGGGAAATGCTGAAGTAACCTTTTGGTAAGTGGGAATGACTAAAAAATAGGCTAGTCTTCCATTATCTATCTACATTGATTGATAATCATCTTCTTGTTCTGAACACTTAAGTATTACTCAATAATGCATCAGGCTGGGATGTTTCTGGTCTTTGGAAAGAGTTCAAGCAGAAAGCAGGATGATCTTCAGGGGTGTGCTGAAAAATGATCCCTGTATTAGGAGTTAGGTTGGGCTAGAACCTTTCCAAATATTCAGTCTATATGTGAGTTTCTCGTGATTTTGGTTAATAATCTCACCTTGGTTCAAAGTCTTGCCAAAATTCAACGGATGGAGAAGTTAAACGAAATAGCTCTAATCCAAACAAATAGTTCCCTATCTGGAAATTATTTCAATCTCACTTTTAAAAAAATATTTCATTTTTCCACCCTAAGGTATAACTGACATACAGTAAAATGCACAGATCCTAAGTGCATATTCTCATGAGTTTTGAAAATATATAGATCCATGTAACCAACACCCTAACCATATAAAGAACATTCCATCATAGTTCCCTGGTGTCCCTTTCCACTCAGTTGCTCCCCTACCACTTTCTATCATCAAACAGTTTTGTCCATTTTTGAAGTTCATACAGGTTGGTCTCTGCCTTTTTAATGCTTGTGTAGTATTCATGTCCCCTACTGGACATACAGGTTATTTCCAACAACACACATACACATGCAAGCGCACACATACATATTTGGGCTTACTTTTTGTATTAATTTGTGAGATCTTTTTTCACATTAGTGAGTATTCATCCCTTGGTTGGCTGCATTTTGTTAGTACTTTTTCCCACTGTCAAATCCTCTTCATTGTTCCAAAATAGTATATCAGTTATTTGTACATTCCAAATGTTATGGTATTTAAATTGGAATAAACAAAATTATGGGTAACTTTTTTCTCACATATCTGTTGCCTTAATCTTTTTAAAATAAATTATCATGTGCTTCCTTGTGTAATCCAAAAAAGTGTTTCAATTTTGAAAAACGTGAATGATAGCCATAGCACTAGTACTGAACATTTTAAAACAATTTCTGAATTGCAGAATCATAAGGAGTCTAAGATGACCATCTTTGAGAAGGAAAACTTTATTGGACGCCAGTGGGAGATCTCTGATGACTACCCCTCCTTGCAAGCCATGGGTTGGCTCAACAACGAAGTCGGCTCCATGAAGATACAAAGTGGGGCGTAAGTACAAAAACAGGGTGGGAATACACTTCAAAGTAACTCCTGAAGTTGCATCAATGGTTGTTTTAATCAGATTTCATATGTATTGGTATAGATGTCACATTCTAGTTATACATAATTTTGAATCACAAGTTCTTTATACCAACTACCACTTAAGGTTGCAGATTTATCTCCCCCAGACATGCCTCTATGGAAGAATTTATGTTCACTTATATCTCTTTTGATGATTAAGGCTAATCAACTAGCTGTAGCTGTATTATGCTTACAAATAGTGCCTGATATATTTAGGATGGCTATATTTTTCTAAGACTAAAAGCATCCCATACCATTAAGTTGAGGAAAGAGGCTCAGATTTTGGGGTGTTAACCAGATTCCTAATTAGTTTTAATAATGAAATGTACTTTGAATTTCCCAGCTGGGTTTGCTACCAATATCCTGGATATCGTGGGTATCAGTATATCTTGGAAAGTGACCATCACGGAGGAGACTATAAACATTGGAGAGAGTGGGGATCTCATGCCCAGACTTCCCAGATCCAATCGATTCGCCGAATCCAACAGTAGCTGATTAAAAGCTCCAAGTACGATAATTCCTCAAGCATGAGACCTTGCTAAAACTCTAGAATGAGTTTTACGTTCTGCTCACAGACATTGCTTTCAAATGTTAGCTGCTGAAATCCACAATAAACGTCATTAAAAAAAAAAAAAAACAAAACAAAACTTTGTAGACTGAATTAACTACCATGCTTCACATAAATCACACCTATGTGGATGAGAATTTTTTTTTTCTGAGATGGAGTTTCACTCTTGTTGCCCAGGCTGGAGTGCAATGGCGCTATCTCGGCTCACGACAACCTCCGCCTCCCGGATTCCAGATTCTGTCTCAGCCTCCCGAGTAGCTGGGATTACAGGCATGCACCACCACACCCAGCTAATTACTGTATTTTTAGTAGAGCTGGGGTTTCTCTATGTTGGTCAGGCTGGTCTCAAACTCCTGACCTCAGGTGATTCTCCCGCCTCGGCCTCCCAAAGTGCTGAGATTACAGACATGAGCCACCAACGCCTGGCCTGTGGATGAGAATTTTTGTTGTTGAGACAGGGTCTGTCACCCAGGCTGGAGTACAGTGGTGCGATCTGGCTTAACTACAGCGTCGATCTCCTGGGCTCAAGTGATCCTCCTGCCTCAACCTTCTGAGTAGTTGGGACTACAGGCGCCTGCCACTGTGCCTGGCTAATTTTTGTACTTTTTGTAGAAATGAGGTCTCACTATGTTGCCCAGGCTGGTCTTGAACTCTTGGGCTCAAGTGATCCACCTACTGTGGCCTCCCAAAGTGCTGGGATTACAGGTGTTAAGCCACTGCGCCTGCCTGGATGAGAATTTTTAGTTAAGCTTCCATAAAACTCCACATTCTCCTTGTGTCCTTGCAAGTCACTTACCAGGCCAAGGACAATTATTCCTTATCTCAAAGAACAATAAAGCATATGACCTAAATGTTATCAATCTCTATAGTGACTGACACTTTTGGTAAATGTTTTTATGTCCTTTCCTCCCATCTCCTGCTCTTTCTAATAATGCTGAAGTTGGCATTGATTTTCCTTTCACCTTGTGACAAATCAGTACTATAGAAACAGGAAGTTTCTCCAGTGTGTACTGCCACATGTTTCAACATAAAGTTATGAATAAATTCAGAATCTTGGCAGCTTAACATTCTAGTTGCTTAACTGCTTAGCTCAATTTTGATTTATTTCAACTGGAAAAGCGTAAGACTTAATGTCCTGCAAAAAGGCAGGATAGCTCTGGATTTTTCAATAAGCAAGCTAATTCTAAGCACTGTAAAAACCTCTGATTAAAAAAAAAAAAAAATCACAGGACCATAGTACACTTAAGACTTAAATTCTTCACATATTTGACCCTTTGGAAAAAAAATCATTATCAATATCACAAACTTAGTTTTCAGGTTTTTTTTTTTTTTTTTTTTTTTTTTTACTTTTTATCAGTTGAATTTAAGATTCGTCAGTAAAGACTTTTTAAAAAATTAAAGCACACAAAAGATAACAAACACCTCAGAAACTTTAAAATTTTTTATTCAACAATGTACACTTATTGTCTCTCAATTTGATCTACAAATTTCTCAAGTTTTTTTTTTCTGATAAAATAAGTAAATCTGGGTATGGTTGTAGAGTGTTTGTAATTTATATTTTTAAAACACTGAACATGATGAAGTAAGACAACAATAAAGGAAGATCATCACGTAACTGACACTTCCTCAGAATCCATGACATCAGAAACAGCTATAGCAAATACCTAAGCATTTAGCAAAAGGGAAAATTTCTGGTCACTGTTCTTATATCTAGAAAAGACCTATATTTTTGACTGGGCAAAACAAACATTGAAACTTTTTTTGAGAGGGGGAAGGGAAAACATCCATTAACATAACTGTACTCCATTTATCATCCATTCCCCTAGATTAAGATGTAACTCAGCTCCTAAGTGCCTCTGCACAAGACAGAGAAATTACTTTGCTTTTCCAATAGGTTCTAAGACTGAACATAAGTGAACTACTGACAGATGCGGAAGAGGAACCATAGCCATCTAAGATGATGCTTGCTACACTCCTGCATTTCTGCCTTTTAAGGCCATGCAATTAATTATGGGTCACCTTTCGAGTCTTAACTGGATGACTTTGTTTTTAACTGCCACTATCAATGAAGATACATATAGAAGGGTTTTGCTGTGTCCTCAAAGGCAACATACTTGATGAAGAAGTAACCCTCTTCTGTACACTGAAAAAGCTATAAAATGGAAATATTTATTTTATATGTAGGAACACGGGGAAAATACCATCAGTAATATCTTCTACTTAAACATATTAGCCTCTCCTACAAAAGTCCTGAAGCAATTAAAAAAAAAGCTTTAAAAAAGATGATTTGACAAAACCTGGGCAGTACATCTATACATTATAAGTACACATACACACAAAGTAAAGCTATTTAGTACATGCACATTGCAGCACTTGAACCAAATGTACCCAATTTCTAAACTTGTTCTAATTAGCTTGGGCAATTTTTTAAAACATACATGTTATCTTTAAAACCACCTGTGCTTTGATCTTACAAACAACTGAATAATTCTAATCTCAAGCCAGTCAATTCAGTAAACCAAATTTATGCAACAGCAATAAAGGTAAAAGGCTATCCTACCTTTAAACCAGCTTTAAGACATAAAATTGTCACCAAGTTCCATGTGACAAAAAAGGGTCTTTCAGTTTGAATTACTTTCCATTTCTATTTGATCAAATAAACCAAAATATTACTAAGGAAGAGCATCCAATGATTTGTAAAGCTGATAAAACTGCCCTGTTTCAAGAAAAGCCCTTTAATAGATACAAGTCAAGCTCTCGTTTAAATTGAACTTTATTAAAATAGGTGCCAGTTTTCCTCTCTCCTAGTTCCACTGATGAGCTAGCCCAGACCTATATAACTTTGAGCCAAGTTTCCAAAGATGGTAAAGCTGAGAACAGCAAAGTAATAAGGACAAATCGGTCACTTTTGGTAATGACACACAAATTAAACTTTCAAAACATGTGCATAGCTTTATTCATCTACTTAGATCTAACCTTTTCACGGAGCTTCGGCAAAATTCGAGTGTGCAAAATGCATTTCTAAAACGTAATGCAAGCAAAGCTTTCACATTTACACTGGCAGGAAATACAGAGAGAAACTAACAAGTCACATTAGGGAGAATTCAGATCTTTTTTTTTAATGACAAGAATTGCACAGTTTATTATTTTGAGACAATTGTTGCAGACATAAATATTTTAAATTTTCTAAGCAAGGTGCTTTTAACAAAATTTTTAAAGTTGGAAAGAGCTGGTAACTTGGATCATAGCTCACGCAGAATTCCAAATTAAAGTGGACTCCATTATTTCCCTACATTTTGCAAACAATGCTTTGTATAACACTTCTTTAAAACACTAAAAGAGACAGCAAGCTGAAACTTTTTTCAAAGCACACAAGAAATGTTTACTTGAAGAAGGTGCTGAAGGGAGAAGAAAAGGGAGTGAAGAATCCTTTAATTATTTCCCACTACAGGACAGCCACTAATAGATTAAGAACAAAAAAGACACAACAAAAAAAGTAAATCACTTCCCCAGCTTATAAAATAGTTCCAGTTTGACAAGATCTATAACTTTAAACAGAGAGCACCAGTTGGGCAATAGAATGAGCATTTCATACTGCATAAAAATTAGTGAGGTGGTAAGAACCATCAACTATCTCAGGCATTACTACATGGCCTTTCCAATTCTTTTTTTTTAATATACACGCAAGGCACATTGATATAAAAATAGATCTCTGGCCAACAAATATATTAAATAAGCAAATTAAAATTTTGGCTTTGCGATATTGGCAACATCAAAATATAACCAGATAGCTTTGGCCCACACATCTTTCTCATATTCCTCCACCTCATTTGGTGTTTCCCACCCATTATTTTGGGTTCAATCACCACCTTCAAGTTTGGGTATGTGCTTGAGAAATGACTTTTCTTCTTGTCAAGTAGCATTCTTGCTAAAGTTTTCCTTTGCTAAGTAAAAAGACAAGAGAAACAGAATAGTTGGAGTTTTGATTGATTTGATTTAAACTAAATCTGATTGGTTCAGGGCAGCATTATTTCTTCTCTATATACAAACAAAATTAAGTCCCCAGCTTACATAGACAAATGTTTTCTAAAAGATCAGCAACAAATCAATGACACCACATCCTTTAAGCCATTCTTCCCAATTCCTCTTTCTGAGGCAGAGAGAGGGAGTAATAGAAACAAAGCTAAGATTTAAACTATTTTCAGTAGTAGAAGACATTTAAGGCCAAAAAGTGTACTACTATTAACAGAATTCTTATATTCCTAAGTTATTGTCCTTCATAGGCCAATATCAGCTAAGAATTAGTTACTTGTACTGATTCCCTCCCAAAGAGAATTTTATAATTCACTCACTCTTGTTAGTGGCTGTGCTACAGTAAAGGTATCAAAGCAACCTATGGTATATGTATGGTATATAGTAATGTAAAAAGTGCATCACATTCTTGATTTTCAGTTTCTCATAGCAGCAGCAGGATTAATCTAAGACAGAAAACAGTTGTATTTTCATTCTTAAAATGCAACAGTATCTAATGAAATGTATTCAAGATCATGAAAGGATCCTCCTCTATGAAGGATAAATGAAAACAGACTAATAATAATAGACAAACAGGATAAACTAAAGGCATTCATTCATATTTACATATTAAAACCACTTTCGTTAACACCAAATCTTTACATCTAGCAAAAGAAATAAGCATTTTAAGAATAATGCAGACATTACTAAAGCAGTATCCATTTTCAGAGCCTTTGATTAGCACCTGAGGAAAAAAGGGTATACGGAAAGCTATATAATTTGCCCTCAAGTTAGTTTGTTGGTCTGAAGAGTATAACTTTGATATGCACTGAAAGTAAAACTAAATTGGAAAATAAATGTTTGTAGCTAGTTTAGTAAGGCTGTAGAAAAGGGATACTTGGCCGGGCACGGTGGCTCACACCTGTAATCCCAGCACGTTGGGAGGCCGAGGTGGGCAGATTGCCTGAGGTCAGGAGTTCAAGACCAGTCTGGCCAACATGGTGAAACCCCATCTCTACTAAGAATACAAATTAGCCTGGTATGGTGGTGTGCGCCTGTAATCCCAGCTACTCGGGAGGCTGAGGCAGGGGAATTGCTTGAACCAAGGGGGTGGAGGTTGCAGTGAGCCAAGATTGCACCACTGTACTCCAGTATGGGCAACAGAGAGTCCGTCTCAAAAAAAAAAAAAAAGAGGGGGGGGGATACTGCAGTATTATAAAATGGCTTTAGAACTCTGGACATAACAAAATTGTATGGATAAATAGGGAAGTCTGAATCAGCATCCCAGGATGGCTGTTCCATAGTTTCTAGCCCATAACTGATGTACCACTCCCAGTAATGCAAAAGCAATATTCCAATCATGCTGCACTGGGTGTTTTTATCATGCAGACAACCGAAAATTCTATTCGGACTATTGCTGGCATCCTTTAACTACTTTAAGACCTTTCTTGAGCAGCAAAACGGTGTGAAATTTAAAACTCAGTAAAGCAATGCTTTTGAGTAGAGCCAATGATTCATCACTCTCCCAGGTGGTCCCGGTTCTCACACAGGTGATATATATTTTAAAAGAAACATTTTAAAATACCAAAACAGAAGCCCACCTTTTTCACCATGAAAGAATCTTGGTGCTCTGTTGACTAATGACATTAGTAAAAAATAACATCGATATTAAGAACTAATGTTAAGCTATGTGCCTCTGGCAAACTTAGAGCAGCTATTTATGCTTCTAATCTTTTCCTCTGCCTCTCCCTTTTAAACAAATTATCAAAATTTTGTGGGGGTGAAGGGGAGGAGAGCAAATCCTACGTTTTCCTTTCAAATCCAACAGTTAAGTCATGGGTAGGGTTATTAAGATACTGCCCTATCAGACTCTACCTTGACTGGTGTGGCATCAACCAATCTGACCCTAAGGACCATTGTATTTGTCCTATAGCATAACTGTTCTGCACAGTTAACATATTTATACAAGAGGGATCAGCTGTTGTTATTTGAGGATATGGCCCAGTGGCATAACTACACTCATAATACCTGGAAATTGGACTTTTAACCTATTTCTCTGAAGAGACCCTCGCAGGAATGACTCCCTCCTTATTTACAGTGGAATTAAAATTGAGTAAAGTCCCTTTCCAATAGCCATTTGATACCTGACAATTTCACACTAAATGGCTTTATTTTAAAAAGTTTACAGCAATTACAAAAGATAAATCATTAGATGCCTCTGATGTGGGGAAGCAACAAGTCTAACAACCGAGTATGAAATTACCGCTATGTAATGTTTTTTGAAAATTTGTATTGTGGACAACTCCCATAGTTGAGGTTTTCCCTAAAACTGTTATTTGTAAAACAATGCAGCACTTTTCCTTTATGAAGTTTCTGCAGATTGAGTAATGACTAGGTAAGCAGATGACTAAGGAGGACAGCAAAATTCTAAAATGGAGAAACTCTCTGGCCATTTATTTCAAAGAAAAAAAAATCTGTTATTAAATTCCTAGTTATTGGAATTTAATCCCCTCCTAGAAAGTAGAGGAGAAAGGGCTGGCTACCACAGATGCTGTAAATACACTTTATGTGAAGGTTCATTACTAAGGAGGTTAGAAGAAAGGCTATGTAATTAACTTCAGTTCAGCAAAGTGAGGGTGAATAAAGAGAAAGATAATACACCCTGTGTGTTTTGCGGGAAAAAGGGATTATTGAGGACACCTACAAGAGTGGTATGTGACACAGAAGCCTACAATAATCAAAACAGATTTGAAAAGAAATCTTCACCCATAATTAGTATCTTCATAGCTATTAAAAAAATAGGTCATAATTTCATTCTTAGTGCCATTTTTCAATACTACCCTTTTAAGGATTTAAACCACCTGACTTTTTTCTGTGTAATGAAAACAAATGGCACAAAATAAATACAAGTTCATTCTCTGAATACTAATGTCTTATACACATTCATTTACTAATTTTTAATATCTCCATCTTTTCCTCACACACATTCAACACACACATACACATACATACACACACACCCCTTTTTCAGTCTTTATAATGGAGGGATGTTAAAAATCCCCTCTAGACTGTATTTGGTTTATGCTACAGTACTAATACTCTGAGTTGGAGGAAAATTCTTTATACCAAACAATAACACGTTACTTAAATGTGCTAAATTAATCACAGCTGAAGTCTGTTTAGAAGCTTACACAAAATAATCAGAAAACAGATCAACTCTTAAGATTTTTTTTTTTTTTAATAAGTGCTCTGTAAGGAATTGTGTGAGGACCTAAGGAGAAAGATTGCAACAAATAGAGTTAAGTGTTACCAAACAGCACAAAGAGATTTGTCCCAAAGTCCTGCTTGTACCTAGGCAATTAAGTCTATTAACCTAATGCCCCCAAAATACTGCCAGTTAATATGATGGGGCACTAGGGTTCTCAGAAAGTTAACAGACATTCCTAACTACATACCTCTAACCATATAATCAAGGAAATTTCAGTGGAGAAATCAAAGTGAAATGTTGCATTGTTTCATTTAAAAGTGAGACTCTCAAAAACCTTTGGACAGACAGAGAAGTGATACATTCTTTTTGGCTTCTCCAAACACTGAGGCCTGAGGGATATGGAAAGAAATTAGAAAAGCAACAGCTTTCTAAAGATGTTCAATCAAGTGTTGCTTCTAAGTTAAAAAGCCCAATTCAGGTGGGGGCTGGGTTTGTCTTTTTTTTTTCGTTTTCAAATATATATTCATTCAATCTCTGTATGTCACAAACCCAGAAAGTTTCTTGTGAGTTGTGAGACAGAAGAACTTTAAAATTCCAGGCAAGCAAAATGGACATTTAAAAAGGGGGAGTGGTGAGGGGAATCTGGCCCTAAGGCGACAAGTGGTTACACAAGGCAATTGAACACACAGCAGAACTTTAAAACCTGTAAAACAAACTGGAGCCTTTTTTCCCTTTAATCAACCTTATATGTTTTTTTTAAACTTTTTGAAAATTTTTATTAAAAAAAAACACAAAAACACAGACTTTTTTCACTTCAGTTATGTGGTATGTTGCATTTTCCAGTTTGTTCAATGCTTTAAAGCTCAAGGATGCCTCTGCTTTCAATTGTACATGGGCCTGAAGCATCCTAGCTTTTGGCAAGCAGGCAGGAGACTCAACAAAAATCAAAATAGGAACAAGGCAGACTAAATGCAGGGCACATCTGTAAACATATTATACATTTGAAAATTACAATATCAGTAAAAGTGATACAGTTTACAGGTGAAATGAAACTATCTGGAACTGGCCTACCACAAGTTTCTGAACCTGGACTGATACAATAAGTTATTTTATATATATATATATATTATGTATAAAAAAAAGTTTTGTTTACATCAAGTGGAATTGGCAATCCATGCTTATACTTTTAAAATCTAAGCAGGGCAGAAATCCAGACTAAAAAGATAGTTACTCTACTCTATGTTGAGTCCAACAGCTTCTTTCATGAACTACTTGTTTTAAAAGCCTCAAATAATCAACAAAACAAGAAAACCCATCCATACTACAGTCACTCAAAACTGGACATTTCTAGGGGTAGAGCAAAAGTAGTTACTTTCTCCCCAAATACCCCAGGGGATCCAGTCTACTTTTATCAGAAGACTACAACTCTTTATATAAATGCCCTGATATTTTAACCTGTATTTGACATACATGGATATACTAATTTCTGTGTGTGTGATGTGATGCTGTGTCAGGCCAGACAACTTGTTATTATGCTAACATCACCCAATCTCAATTGGACCCTTAATTTCTGCACACACACACAAAAATTTATTTTAGCATGCTATACACAAGCTGCAGTGCAACAGGATGGCAATGTAATGATAAGACAGGGCTAATGCTCTTCTCTGCCCCAAAGAAAATTTCCAGAATTTCACATTATTTTCCTTAAAAACCCATCTTGCTCTAGTAATAAAATATATTTATTAAGATATAATTAGAAGCTAATAAGCTCAGAAGTATAGTTTGCATGAAAACACACCTTCTACAGTCAGGGTTTATTACCTTCTCACTGGCTAAAAACATGAAAAGTTTTAGTTTTCATGGACTTTTTACTTCCCCTTTTAGATTTTTTTGAGAAATTAAAAGAGAATTTACAGAAAGGTCTAAGTTTGTCTTAAATGTTTGATGAAAAACAAGGAAAACAGCACATTTAGTGTTAGTGACAGAGAGCAAGTCTGGAGCACCTACAGTTGAAAAGCAGAATATATTTTTGCTCCCAGTTATACAATTACATTAAAATATGGGCACAGGAATATTTTTCCAGATTGTATATCTAAGCCAATTGCTTGTTCTGCAACTTTTCTTTAAATGACACGCATAGATTCTTCAGTTGTTAAAGTCCAATATGTAACCGAAGCCAAGTTAACTATGTACCATCAACTATTCCAGAATTGTAGAACTTCAATGCCCTCCCCTATCCCCCCACCCCACAAAAAATAAATGGAAAGAAATAAAGTATTCCCCCAACACCCCACAGAGGCCGCTTAACTCCTGGCAAGACATGCAAATCATATTCGCTAAAAAAATACACCCTGCTAACTTCAAGGCATTTATCCAGCATTCTCGCAGGGCTTAATTAAAGTAAAACCAAAAAGATCAAGGGAGGAGTGGGGGAAAATGTTGAATCATTCTGGGTTCCCCGTGATTAGTGTATCACTTCAGTCACAGAACAAGATACAGAGATCTTTTAAGTGGATTTGCCTTTCCAGTGGGTCATTTGTTGCCCAAGTTGATGACAGCAGGAACTTTAGAACCACACTTGTTAAGTCTGTATTCATTAATCACTTGCATTCACACTTAAAAACAAAAACTAACAGAAGAAAAAAAACCTATTCAGTACCGGAGATTAAATAACCATGTGTAGTCTCTTGAAATAAATTTGATTCCTTAAGAAGTCTAATTACTTTCAGTTGCCTTTTTTTAAATAACTATATATATATATATATGTATATATATATATTTGTATATATTATCCTGTGATTCTACTTATGGTTCCTCTGCTGCGTTGAAGATCTAGGAGCATAAAAGCCTTGTGTCCCCCATGAACGATGGCTCTAATGCTGCAGAAAGGTTACGAATAGGCAGTCTGGTCCTTCATTGATCTGGACTATCCATGGCTTCATTGTAAGTGATTATCCTTTTGGGATCTAGAAAGGTTAAAAAATAAAAATAAAAATAAGTTCTAGAACATCAAAATACCCATGTTCCAATAACAAATCCCAAATAACCATCATTTAAATCGCCTCATTGTTTTATGAAAACAAAACTTCAAGCCCATTTCCTCTTTGTACTAACACACATATGATCCAGTTTCTCAACCTGGAAGTAGCTGTTTGGAATTCCAATGAATTCCAAGTACAGGGTCCTCTAGACAGTGAGGGCCTCAATTCCTACAGATCAGAGATGGTTGAGTTCACTTAATAAGGGTTTTATGTACTTCTACTGATTACAAAAGCAGTGTATTTGAAAACAGCAGCCAAAGAAAAAAGCTTGTCACCAATAATCCAATATTAAAAGAAACATGTGGATTTTTCTTTTGTTGTTCTCAGCAAATGAAGTCAAAATTTATTTTAACCAGTGTGGGAACTATCTAAGTAAAACCTGGCACCAAAAACTTGACATTAAATTAATTAGCAAAACTACTAATTCAGTCCTAATCAAGGCTTACTCAATTTCCCACAGTAACACCAGCCTTTATTCTCAGCAGTAACAAAAGCCTATGGATCTTTCAGATTCAAAATATAAAACTGTTAGAATGTGTCTGGGCAAAGACTCCAGGGTTATTCTAAATTCTTACTATTTAGCTGCATGCTCCCCTCTTCTGGAGGGGCACTGTTTTTATTATATATATACTATTATATATATACACACACACACACACATGTAATTTCTACCTAAGAACTTTTTCAAGTATACATGCTTAAAAAAAAAAAAAAAAGGCAAGTCAATACAACTGGTTACCCAATAGAAAAATTTAAAGACCTGAAAATAATATTGGAAAAACTCAAGTCCACTTCAGCCTAACAATCAATCTAGTTTAGTCCAGAGATAATATAATAATATCCTTTCTGGGACTCCTAGGGCCACCCACTGGAAACCCTCCATGAAGAACATGCTCATTCCAAAGAGTTAATGGCCATTTTACAGTAAAGACAGGTAGGTCTACTTTTTCGGGTATATTTTCTTTTCCTTTTTTTTTGGCGAAGTTTCGTTCTTGTTGCCCAGGCTGGAGAGCAATGGCGTGATCTCAGCTCACTGCAACCTCCATCTCTCATGTTCAAGCGATTCTCCTGGTTCCGCCTCTCTAGTAGCTGGGATTTACAGGCATGTGCCACCAAGCTTGGCTAATTTTGTTTTAGTAGAAATGGGGTTTCACCATGCTGGCCAGACTGGTCTTGAACTCCTGAACCTCAGGTGATCCACCTGCCTCTGCCTCCCAAAGTGCTGAGATTACAAGTGTGAGCCACCGTGCCCAGCCTGCAGGGTGTATTTTCCAGTCTATGTTTTTTTCATTTGTTTGGTAAGACACACAGAAAGTAACTCCAGAAGAAAGAGCAAAGTTGGGAAATCAGGGGAACCTACATTCTAGTCCTGCCACTTTCTAGTTTATAGGAACCTCACTGGAACTCATTTTCCTAATACGTAAAATAAGAGAATTTCTTACACATTTCAAGTTCTGAAATTCTAGGAATTTCACATTCATCTGAAATTCACTTGTATTAATGAGCAAAGTAAATGAGGAATAGGATACAATTCAGTTCCACGGTTCAAAAACCCAAATCTATTGTCAGTGACTACTACAAAACTCTCACTTTATTTCATGTATTCCACAATGATCATATTTTAATATATTCAGGAAGAAGGTACACAATAATCAGGATAATCTATTTTAATTTTTAACTATCTTTTCAGAGAATATCCAGCCCAGATAAGGCTCCTATAACATGTTGGTTTCCCACATTAAAAACATTTATGGCTTGTCTTACTTTCATAACCAGGAGGGGAAAAAAAAAATCATTCGCATCTTTACCTAGTAGGTAAAGAATACCTTCCTGTTTTTTTCACTTAAAGTATTGCCCCATCCTCACCAGTCGTGGTATGGTAGTATCGTTTTGTCGCTTTTTCTTTTTTCATATTCACTCTTAATACTATCACTTTTTTTTTTCTTTGAGATGGAGTTTCACTCTTGCTGTCCAGGCTGGAGTGCAATGGTACAATCTCAGCTCACCGCAACCTCCGCCTCCTGGGTTCAAGCGATTCTCCTGCCTCAGCCTCCCGAGTAGCTGTGATTATAGAAACCTGCCACCATGCCCTGCTAATTTTTGTATTTTTAGTAAAGATAGGGTTTAACCATGTTGGCCAGGCTGGTCTTGAACTCCTGACCTCGGGTGATCCACCCGCCTCAGTCTCCCAAAGTGTTGGGATCACAGTTGTGAGCCACCGCGCCTGGCCCTACATTTTTTTTTTTTTTTGAGACAGAGTCTTGCTCTGTTGCCCAGGCTGGAGTGCAGTGGCATGATCTTGGCTCACTGCAAGCTCTGCCTCCCAGGTTCATGCCATTCTCCTACTCAGGAGGTGGGACTATAGGCACCCGCCATCAAGCCTGGCGAATTTTTTTTTGTATTTTTAGTAGAGGCGGGGTTTCACCATGTTAGCCAGGATGGTCTCAATCTCCTGACCTTGTGATCCGCCCGCCCTGGCCTCCCAAAGTGCTGAGTTGCACTCCAGCCTGGGCGACAGAGTGAGACTCTGTCTCAAAAAAAAAAAAAAAGAGATGGGGTCTGGCTATGCTGCTCAGGCTGGTCTTGAACCCCTGGACTTCAGCAATCCTCCCACCTTGGCCTCCCAAAGTGTTGGGATTACAGGCATGAGCCACCCAGTCCAGTTGCTACTGCCTTTTGATTGTAGTTATTAAATAACTCAAAATACAAAGTCTATTTGGTAAATTACCACCCATCTGTTAATCCCACCCAAAAATAATGTCCAGTGATTACTTATCAGTGACATTTTAAGTAATCTAATCATTCTTACCTTGCTTCTGCAAATTCCAAATAGATTCCATTTCTGCAAAGAAAAAAAGAGAAATACATACTAAGTTTTGGTGAACAAGGTTTGAAGCTATGTTTTTCATTTTAAATCTAAAAATCCTAGGCTGATTTACTGCCAGATTGGAGGTAGGGCTGAAAATGGCAAAATTCTATGAAGCTCACACAAAGCATTCACATTTTCCTATAATTTTTTTTTTTTTTAAAGACATGGTCTTGCTCTGTTACTGCAGCCTCCTAGGCTCAAGCTATCCTCCCACCTCAGCCTCTTAACTACAGCAGCATGCCATCACACCCAGCTAATTTTTTTTTTTTTTTTTTTTTTTTCCTGGTAGAGACAGGGTCTGTTGCCCAGGCTGGTTCTCCCACCTCGGGTGTGAACTTGGCTCCTGTAATTCTTTTTTTCCTTTTGAGACTGAGTTTCGCTCTTTGTTGCCCACGATGGAGTGAAGTGGCCTGATCTCAGCTCACTGCAACCTCTGCCTCCCGGGTTCCAGCAATTCTCCTGTCTCAACCTCCCAAGTAGCTAGGTTTACAGGTGCCCACCACCACACCCAGCTAATTTTTGTATTTTTAGTAAAGACAGGGTTTCACCATGTTGGCCAGGCTAGTCTCGAACTCCTGACCTCAGGTGATCTGCCCACCTCAGTCTCCCAAATGCTGGGATCACAGGTGTGAGCCATTGTGCTTGCCCAGCTGGCTCTTATAATTCTTAAGTGTCATGTAGATTATTATTATCTGAAATCAAACTGCAAGAATAATTTTGTCTTCACAAATTGTAAGGATATGCAAGAAGCATGCTACAGATAAAATAATACTTCTCCTAAGAGCTCATCATTATTTAAAAAACACCAAGTATTTCTTGGTAATCCACTGACTCCTCAATGAGGTGCCCAAATTTTTTGAACAAAGCAGTCATCAAATTTGACTAATTAAAATTGATGCTTAATTAGTTTAACCATTCAGGCAAGTGGTTCTAACCTCTAAACCACACCTTTCTTTTTTTTTTTTTTGAGACAGTTTCACTCTTGTTGCCCAGGCTGGAACACAATGGCGCGATCTCGGCTCGCGGCAACCTCTGCCTCCCAGGTTCAAGTGATTCTCCTGTCTCAGTCTCCCAAGTAGTGAGGATTACAGGCATGCGCCACCACACCCAGTTAATTTTTTTTTTTTTTTTAAAGTAGAGACAGGGTTTCTCCTTGTTGGTCAGGCTGGTCTAGAATTCTCGACCTCAAGTGATCTGCCCACCTCAGCCTCCCAAAGCGTGAGCCACCGCGCCCAGCCCTAACCACACCTCTTATTTTAACCTATAAGGTCAAAATGCCAATCCACACCTATTATTAAAGGCACACAATCCCCATTTGTTCCAATTTCATCCAAAATGTCTACAATGTGCTTAGTTTGGCATCTTAAAATAAGAAAATTATGTACACGTCCAAATTATATTGATATACAGAGAATGCAGTTAAAAACTCTACCTGTGATACATGAAAGCTTCAGCTATATATAGTCAACAGTAGTTGAATATTACACAAGAACCAAATAATTGGACCTTGAAAGGAAATATTCTATCTGGAGATTAACACAAACTACTTAGTAATAGAAATGAACTATAACAAACGTTAAGGATAGTCTTTCTGTGGTAATAAAACTATCATTTTGAAACAACAAAAAGATTATTTTAACCCTGCTTAACTGTTATGTGTAACTACATTCCAATTTAACAGCAATCAATTATAATTAAAGAAAAATAAAACCGAAACTCATTAAGATGGGATACATCTAGACTTGGGTTACAGTTAAGGCACAACATAATCCCTCCATAGGACTATAAGATACAGATCTAAAATTATTATTTTCTGATTGTATGTGTATAAATAGGGGCAGGAAATGGTGGAATCATATTCCTATTTCTCTCCCCACTTCCCAAGCAAAAATTAAAACTGTGTCTAAAAACCAATTTTTTTTTTTTTTTTTTGCGCAGGGGGCAGTGAGCAGGGGACACGGTCTTGCTCTGCAGCCCAGGCTGGAGTACAGTGGCATAATCATGGCTCACTGCAGCCTCAAACTCCTGGGCTCAAGCGATCCTCCTGCCTCAGCCTCCCAGGTAGCTGGGACTGCAGACACATACCATTTGTAGAGATGGGGTCTTGCTATGTTGCTCAGGCTGGTCTTTAACTCTTGGGCTCAAGCAATCCTCCCACCTCAGCCTCCCAAAGTGCTGGGATTATAGGTGTGAGTCACCAAGCCTGGCATTTTTTTTTTTTTTTTTTTTTTTTTTTGAGACAGAGTCTTGCTTTGTCACCTAAGCCAGAGCGCAGTGGCGCGATCTTGGCTCACTGTGAGCTCCACCTCCCGAGTTCATGCCATTCTCCTGCCTCAGCCTCCCGAGTAGCTGGGACTACAGGCACCCGCCACCACGCCCAGCTAATTTTTTGTATTTTTAGTAGAGACAGGGTTTCACCGTATTAGCCAGGGTGGTCTTGAACTCCTGACGTCGTGATCCACCCGGCTCAGCCTCCCAAAGTGCTGGGATTACAGGCGTGAGTCACTGCACCTAGCCAAGCCTGACACTTTTAAAAAGTATTTTTTACAGTACTCTCAGCCTTTTGAAAATTTGTCAGATCCATATATTGGGATCAATTAATAATTCAGGATGAACAAGATAATTATCCAGATAAAATCCCATTCAATATATCATACTGATTCCCTGATTAAACCAAATCTGGGAGTATGCAGAAAAACTGCCAATTGTCCAAGCTTAGTTGTATGGTATGGTATGTCCATCAAATCTCTGCACAGACACTTATACAAAGAAAGGCAGGAAAATTCCCTTTCTCCTGAGAGGTCTAAAAAGGGGAGAACTATCTAATCTGGAGGGAAAAAAAAAAAAAAAAGATGACGCTCGGGAATTCTACTCATAGAAATCATACTTACCACTTCAATATAATTTCTTATTCCATTAGTTTCAAACAATGAGGAACAGTTAAATGGTCTTTATTATCTTACAAATTTCTGGATTTCAGAATAGCCTATTTTAACAAGTCCAAATATAAGCTTTCTCTTGGTTGACCTACTGCAAAAAAATTGATCCAATACAACCAATATTTTTTATTTTAGTTAAAGCACAGAATTTTCATATTTTTTAGCCAATAAACTCCTGAAGAATTTTGTATATAGTAATAACTTGATACTCATTTTGTCTACTGCAAAAATAAATCTATATTTAGTTGTATGTTGAAAAAAATAGAGATAGTCCGGGTATAGTGGCTCATGCCTGTAATCCCAGTACTTTGGGAGGCCAAGGCAGGAGGATCACTTGAGGGACCAGCCTGGGCAACACAGGGAGACCCTGTCTCCTATTATTAAAAAATAAAAAAAAAAAGAAAAAAAAAAAGGAAAGAAAAAAAGTTAACCCAACTTTTCATGTTACCCACCTATAAATAACATTTCCTTTTTTCTTCCCCACTGGAAACTCAACCTGTCCCTGCACTTTCCCCCTTTTTTGAGAATACACTTCAGAGTCACAGTAACAAACACATTGCTTTAAAAACAAAGCAAGCATACACATTTTAGAATAAAGAAGACAAAACAACTATTTGCAAACACCCAGTTTAACAAGTTGAAGACACTTCTTTACCACAGCTTAAGGTTTTACTCAAATACTATACATTTAAAAATGATTTATGATAAAATGTTACTACCCTTAAATGTGAGCTCTGGAGTAGTGAATTTCATCATGACTTCTGAGGGGGAAATATGGATGTATGATGTACCCATAAAACTAGCCATGAAGCAAGCCAACTTCTAGCCAAGAAATAAATCAGCATATTCCTAGTGCGGTGGCTCACACCTTTAATCTCAGCATTTTGGGAGGCCAAGGCAGGCAGATCACAAGGTAAAGAGTTCGAGACCAGCCTGGCCAACATGGTGAAACCCCATCTGCTAAAAATACAAAAATTAGTCGGGCATAGTGGCCCATGCTTGTAATCCCAGCTACTGAGGAGGCTGAGGCAGGAGAATCGCTTGAACACAGGAGGCAGAGGTTGCAGTGAGCTGAATTCGCGCCACTGCCCTGCAGCCTGGACAAAAGAGTGAGACTCCATCTCAACAGAAAGAAAGAAAGAATGAAAGAAAGAAAGAATGAAAGAATGAAAGAAAGAAAGAAAGAGAAAGAAAGAAAGAAAGAAAGAAAGAAAGAAAGAAAGAAAGAAAGAAAGAAAGAAAGAAAGAAAGA